CCGCCAGTGTTCCGCCCTCGCCTTCCGGGCTGCTTCCTGGAGAGCCCGGAGCGCCCTCCTCGCGGGCCCTCTCGCCGGACCCCCGGACCCCGATGGCTTGGACGGGGCTTGCGGGCGCCGTTGGACGCTGGTGGGGACTCGCGCTCGGCTTGACCGCATTCTTCCTCCCAGGTAAGCGTGTTCCGCCTCCACCTGGTCTTTTCCCTCCAGTGCCTCCTCCGGGGTGGAAGTCGGATGGCGGGGACGATCGGGTTGTCGGAAGTGAAAAGAGCCAGAAAAGTTGGGTCACGGCTTGCGGGGGGGTTGGGGGTGGTGGGAGAAGGGGGGGCAGAGGAGAAAGGGAAGCGAACCAGCCTGCCCTACAGGGAAGCAGTTGGATGCACGTCTCGGTGTAGCAAGAAACCACTTTATCGGCTCAATTTTCCACACAAATAATAATATGTAATAGCTTTCTATTTATTTAATAACCCGCTTTCCGCTTGGGAAGCAGTTTGGAAACACTGTATGTTACATAAATGCAAAAGAATCACGGTAATCACCGTCTCGGGCTATGTAGACAACAGCCCCAGGGGGAGGGCGTCAGTCGCAGGGCTGGGAGGCCCTGGGACTGAAGGGTGGCAGGGGCTGTGAGTCCGTCCCAGTCGCTCGCGGGTCCCTGGCTCGGACGATTTGGGCCGCTTGCCCGGCCGCGCCGGCCCCAGCATCGCGCTCCTGCGGCACCGGCGGCTTCCAGCTCACCTGCGATTCCTTTCCTTTCCCGGAGGGCGAGGCCTCGGCCTCGGGCATGGACAACGGCCGGCCCCTGGCCTTCCGCGAGGCTGGACTCCGGCTCGGACGCTGTTTGCAGTGGGTGGGGGGGCGCCTCTCCCCCAGGAAAGGACCCGGGCCCCGTACCAGCCAGGTGCTTGCATGACCCACTTGCCCCAGGGGCGCCAAGTGCCCCGCGGGTCCTTCCTTAAGATGCCGGCGGCCAGCAGGGCAGGTTAACTAGGTGCCAGACGTGGGGCGGCCCCCAAAGGCGACCCTCGCTGGCCCACTTCGACCGGCAGGGGGGCGGGAGGGAGGAGAGGCTGCGACCCGCCTGTGCGCATTGTGCTGGGGAATGAACTGGAAAATGCGTTTAGGAGACAAATCCTACTGAGTACTAGGCGCCCGGACTTAACCCTTTGTGTTCCTGGGGAAGCTCGTGGCGTCCTACGTTGGCTAGGACTACCTTGCAGCGCGGGTTCAGGGTTCAGGATCGGAGTGCTTGCCCCATCCAGGCTCCTGGAAAGAAACCCGAGAAGACCTCCCGCCCTGGAAGATGTTTTTTGTTTTGTTTTGTTTCGGAAATGAGGGATTGGCTGGAGCACATGGTCCTTGGGGTGGCAGAATGAGGGGTCGGAGTACCTAGGCGAGCAAAAGCATGGGTGTTTAGGTTGATGGTACTGCTGGCAGTGAACTGCAGGCGTGCCCACTGTGTCCCAGGCTTGCCGAGCAGCGTGTGTGTGTGTGTGTGTGTGTGTGTGTGTGTGTGTGTGTGTCCAGCAGGCTGCTGCTGTGTACCCCTGGGGTGGGTCCAGGAAAGCAGGGGCCTCACCTCATTATATATCCCACCCCTTGCCCCACTAGCTCCCTGTGAGGGCTCCCTGAGTGGGGATGGCATGACATCAGCTTATAGAAACCAATCAGGGCACGGGGTGTCTGACCCCCACTCACGCACTGGGTGCTGCCCTGATAAGTGTGTGGGGGGGAGATCCCATGATGGCCAAGGAATCCCATGGGTGCATGCAGGTGGAACTGCTCATGTTAAGGGAGTCTGGTGTTATGCCCTCCCTGGTGGTGTACATGGTTAGTTCCTTCTTTGGGGTCAGGAGGCTGGCTTGCCCCCTTTCGGGAAGTGGGGGCTAGAAGTGACATTCTCACCTGGCTTCCCCCTCTCTAAGCTCAGATGAGAGGGTGGGGTGCAGCGAGGGGAGCCACAGCTCGGACAAGCACTTAATAAGTGCTCTTCAATGGATTGTAATTGATGGATGGGTGGCAGCAGCAGCAGCAGCAGCAGCCAGAGCTCCCGGACTTGTCAGTGCCCGTGGTCCTGGCAGCTCCTATGCCTGCTCTCGCCAGTCTCCCTAGAGGGCAGGTAGGTGGGCATGGCTGTGCCCAGGCCGACACTTAGACAGAGGGTGGTAGGCCTGAAGTTGTCAGCCCACAGCCCCTGGTCACCTCCCCACAGCCTCAGTCCCGTGTGCTGCCCACAGATTCTCTCGGGGACCTAGCAGCCTGATGTTCTTTTCTGGGTTCTCTCTGGGTCAGGGCCAGGAGCATGGGGGCAGGGAGGGGGGTTGTGAGGAGAACCCCCAGTGTGCCCGATAGCCCCCAACTTTGAAATGCTTCCAATCTGGCAGCACCATGTTTTCAGCCACACGGACTTTCTCAGGCAGGATGGCAGAGCCCGGGAGCCTCCGTCCGTTTCCGGAGATGACAGGCTGCTGTTCTTCCATCCCGGGAACTCGGAGGCCAGGGCCAGTGGGGCGTGGGGAGGGAGGCCCACAACCTGCCTGAGCGGCAGGTGCACCGCACTGTGTCCCATGTACACCGACCGCACCCTCCCTAATTGGCTTCCCCAAACCTTTTGTCTGGAAAGAGAACACACCCCAGGTGTCAGGCACACCCTCCTAGAATTGGTTTGAAGACCTGTCGGGCCACCACACACCCCTCCTCCACAGCCTGCCCAGAACTCCCTCCCCAGTGCCAGCCTCAGGACTGGGGCTTATATCCCTCGCTCCCGGTTCACATTGCCTTGCCGGGGCCGGGCACAGTGGCTATGCCATTCCTGCTGGTGATGGGTTGGCAGTGCAGGCAGGCCGGGAACCTCGGGGCCTGCTGAGAGGCCGAATAGGCAAGGGTGTCCCTGAAGCATACTCCAGGCCCGAGAGTCAGAATTGAGGGGAGAAGGGGTGATGGCAGGGCCTGAGGCCCAGCAGCCTACGAGTGGAGGTGGGGGAGGGGGAGCACCTAAAAGAGGCCTCAGAGCCAGAACTGCTGCACATGCGGGACAGGTGGCCTCCTGGAGTCCAGCGCTGGCTGAGGCCAAGCCCTTGTATTGCCTCTCCAACCACTTAGGGTTGCCCAGTGCCTCCCCTCCCAGACCACTGCTGACTCCTGCGCCCGGACCTCTAGCAGAGGGCTATGCTGGTGGGCCAGGCGGCCATTGTTCAGCAGCTGACTAATGTTCATTGTTCAGCACAAGCAGAAAACACCCAAGGGAGGTGTGAATTGTACCTTTTGATCGTATCATTCCTCCTTAGCCTGGTAAATGGAATGGCTCCTCCATGAGGGAGGGGCAGGAGAGGAAGGTAGCTTTACCTTCATCTTTTTGGATGCTTTTTTGTTTGTTTGTTTTAAAATTTTCGTTGACTGTCAGCCAGGGTGCCAGACTGGAATCACCACTAGCCCGAGTTGGAACTTGGGCATCGGGGTCCCTGACACACTGCCTCTGGTCTCACCGTCCATATGGAGTAGCTGTAGGCCCCCCCAAGGGCTGTGTGTCACTGGAGTTCGCTCTGAGTCATGTGCACACCCAGATCCAGGGGGAACTGGGACAAGGTGTGGGCGCCAGCACCTGTGGGTCACCCTGGGACTGTGTCGACAAAGTCATACTTAGCTGGTCTCTGATGGCTCCCCGAGTAGCGTCTTGTGCCTGGCTAACACCTGCGCTAATGTCAGAATGTCCAGGGGGGTGACTTTGGGAGGAGAGTCCCAGGCTTTGCCCTGGGCAGGCTCTCTGAGATGCGAGGAGCTGCACCTGGTCATTTGGGGCTGGGAAGCCCAGACGCAGCCTTCTCTTCCACTCTGCCCTGGGCTTCAGGCTGGCCTCTGCATCCTTGCAGGGAGGGGCTGGGATCTTGACAACACCTGGATAGATGTTCTCCTCCCATCGGCCTTCTGGTTCCAGGCTGCAGCCTGGCTTGCCCCACAAGTCCTCGTGGTTCCAGAATGACTGGGAGGGCCCACAGGAGCCAGGGTTTCAGCTAGGAATGTATAGCACCTTTGCTTTCTGCACTAGTAGCTGAGGATGAAAATGTAGGGGAGGTGATCTGGGGCAGGGGGTGGCATACTCTGGGCCTACGTGTGGGCCTTGGTCTCCCACGAGCAGCCCCGCAGAGGCATATGTGGGTTCAGGTCGGCACACACGGGTGTGTCTAGAAACACCGGCTCTTTCTTGCGGCAGATAGCGAGAGCTTGAGCCCCTTTGCTGGGGTGGCAGGTGGGAATGACGGGCAGAAAGTGAGGGAAAAGGTTGCTTCCAGGTGCCCAGCCCCCTGTGCCCAAGACCAGCTGGGGAGTGTTCTCCCCATGATGCCCGCCCCTCTCCATGGTGACAGGAGCCGCAGCGCCAACAGCAGGTGTACCGGCTGGGCTGGAGGTAACTTAAGATCTGGGTAGGGATCACCTTGCAAAGGGAATGCCCTGCTCAGGGAGATAGCATCCCTTGGTCCAGTTAACTCCTGAAGCCCTGGATTTGCTTGTTCCACTTGGGGTTGGGAGATGGGGAGAAGGGAGACACCATAGAAAACGCACCGAACCCATGACCTGAACTCTGACGCATTCTGCAAGCAAGGTACCTGCACCCCGTGTTGCCAGAAAGACCCAAGAAGGACACAAAGAGAGGCTTCCTGATAGGTTGACCTTGGAGAGTGGGGGGCAGGGGCAGGCAGGCAAGAGGTATGTATAAGAGGACTTCAACATTTTCATGGAAAATGCCCATTATCTTTTCATTCCATTTTTCCACGAACATTGTGATGCTCCCTCATATTCTTGGGGGAGCGTCACAGTCTTCCAGGGAGAAAGGACAGCAGAGGTCCCAGGTGCTCTCTGGGGAAGGCCAGGCCTTAGCATGCACAGCGGGGCCAAGGGACTTGGTTTAAATCCTAGTGCCACCAACCGCTAGCTGAGTGGGTTTGGATAAGTCGAGTGGGAGGCCACATCTTCCCGTCTGTAAGATGGGTTCCTCGTAGGACAGATGTCAAAGGAGATCTGTGGCCATTAGCTTGACAGTCATAAGACAGATGCCCAGCGCCTCACCGGACATGTGGACATGATCCCTCCTCCTGTTCCCTCTGCCTGTCCTCCCAGTGGTCCTGGTTCCTCCCTCTCACTCTGCTACTTGGGCTGTGGCGACTTTGCCCTCC